TGTTTTCTGAAGTGAAAAAGTTGCGTAGTTTTGGTCGTCTTACGGTACATCATCGCCCTTATCTTCCTGTCGATGGGATACAGTTTGGCCCCACAAATCGCCCCCTCTTCCGATATCATATCTGGACCCCGAATATTTGCGCACATTAAAGGATGGATCGTGTACGGCACGTGTAGACGGGCAGTTGGACATTTTCGAGTACCACGTCCTGCCAGCTTCCGGTCGTTTCGACCTCGGGGGATGATAGTTTTGTGGAGATGTAATAAGGCAGATATCGTACAAGTCAGATTTACTATAGGCAAATGCACGGGCATGTCACCCCTACGTCCACTTTGTGCGGCAGAAGTGGATCTTTGCGTTCGCGACTATCATACTGTTGGCTGATGGATAATAGAAATGCCTTGGAAAGCAGCCTAGTTAAGTCGATGGATCTTTTGGTTTTGCCAGGGGCCTTGTGAGTTTATACACCAATGTTCGTCATATGGCATTTTGGCGGACCATAATTTACAGTCACCCTAAACCGCTGTGCTACTCAGTCGGAGCAGGCTGAGGTCCTTTCAATAAAATGGATATGTGGTTTATTTCGAGAATTCTTCAAATTATATGCTCTGGAAGGACTTACTATATTCAAACATGCTCAATTGCAAATAAATATTGAGCAAATATCCTAATGCTGAAATCTATTAAGGTAACCGTCAATAATATTGGCATTTACAGAGGACGCCGACGGTGGTTGAAATGGAAATTAAGTGACCAGATAATATGACGACAAACGATTTATTTGTTGGTCTCCGACCTCATAGTTATTAGTAAAAAGGCGAAAACAGTTTCTCGACGGGAAGCAGTTCACATCACTCGGACCTGTAAGAAATTTCACGTGTAGTTGAAGCGTGATGAGTGTAAATGGCAACTTGAAAGACTGCTTATTTGTGAAGCAAAATAGTAACTGAAAGATCCTCGCGATATGTAGCGGAGCCGGCCATCACCACTAACTCGAAAAGCCCTGTCAGCCTCACAGTGGGTCATTAACGCAAGCCTGCGAAATGCGACTGTCACGTTGTTATTGGCGGAATAAAGGTTGTTGTGATTGGCGCTGGATGTCA